CAAAATCCCTAGATCGAGGACACAAAACGTCTCCTGACAGGCTTGCTTGCTCCTTCTTCACTTCCGCAGACCAATCCGCAGCTTGCTCCTTCTTTACTCCCGCTCGATTCTAAAGCTCGCCGAGGCGATCCCGACGGAGAAGTTGATGGAGGAGGATGATGACACCGGTGAGCTGAGTCAGCCGCCACGGGAAGAACATCGATGGGGGGGGAGGATGATGAGGAGTAAGCGGCGGACGACTGTAGAGGGGATAGGAGGAGAAGGAAGAGGAAAACGAGAGACGATGATATCAGATCTTCTCGAATGATCGCTGCCCAGCTCCCCACCAAGAACCCATAAGCCCCCGACATGCAAGGTCGCATCTCCCGTCTCCGTATCCAAACCTCGAAGCCCAGTACCGCCATCATCAGAGTTCGCGGCCTAGAACAGAGTGGCTGCCATCTCGGCCAGTGAAGGGTAAATCCCCAAATCGATTTACAATCGACGGTAGAGGTTGGGAGACGGGAGAGGGAAGGATAAAACCCCAAATCAATTAGTTTATGTTTGGACAAATACCACTAGGAAACCCGAACTATGAAGAATGTGTCATTTGTGTCCTAAAGTATCCAATATGACATTTGTGTCCCAAACTATTTTTCCGTTAGAGTTGACCGGCGTTGACCGTTAATTTTTAACAGAAAGTCAAGTCAGCGCTGAGATGGTATCTGAAGTGGAATTTAGAAGGTTTAATACACTTGTTTATCCAAAACTTTCATGGTTGTGCCAATAATATTCAAATTTCCTAAAATACCACTTATATCCATGTTTTAAAGTTGTTCTTTGCCAAACCTATCTATTTTGGTTAAATACTTTGACGACGTTAATAACTCCGTCAACATAGTTGACGGCAAGCTGACTGGGCGCCAACTAAGCAGACACGTAAGCGCCAACTATGCCAAAGGTGACATGTAATAAATAATTTAAAATAATTCCCCCCCCCCCCCCATATACCCACTCACGAAGAGCATGACCAGAAAAAACTTTCCGCTTTTGTTTTTAGGGTTCACACCTTGGCAGCGAGTGAACCTCCTCCTGCCGACTGAACCTCCTCCCACCGACTGAATCTCCTCCCGGTGATTGAAGCTCCTCCGGCCGAGTGAATATACTGCCTAGATAGTCTGCTACCATTCCCTCTTGGGATTCACCAGGCCTTTATCCACATCTCTTCTCATATATGTCTTCTTTTATGACTACTCGTCTTCTCGCCATCGTTTAGTCAATGTCCAATCTCTAGCAACATGAATTTTAGGCTATTAATTTTGATATGAAGCAAGGGGTTTGAAGGAGCATGCCACCATTTCCCCAAGCCTTCCCCTGCCTCTTCTTCCCCCTCCGTCGTACCCTATCACCATTGTTATCGGTGACAACACCCTAACTCGGCAGATCTACGATTCGCGGTGAGGAAGCTTTGAAATCAAAGTTTTCCCTCATCATTCCCCTTCCTCTCCATCCACCTCTGCCGCACCCAATCACTATTATTATCAGCGGCGACGACTTGGGATTCTGGCCAGGCCAACGTAGATAAACACGAGGCAGTTGCGGCGGCGGGAGAGGATAGATAGCTAATGGTTTGATTTGATGTTAATGGTTGATCTCTGAGAAACTTTGAATCACTTTCAGATTTGATGGATATGAATGGGGTTGCTGGGTTCTGGCATCGGAAAGGTGAGGGATTCAAGAGGATGGAAAAATCAAAAGAATGAAGCTTGGTAGGAAAAGAGGGGAAGTGGGTAGAAAAAAGGAGAAGGGTAGAAAGTTAGGTCAAGACGAGGGGTGAGGTCAGATGAGTGGTTTGAAATTTTTATTGTTTAATTTTTAAATTAAATTAATCAGCAATCCACGTGGATAATTACAAGAGAATTGGGAAATAAGCGTTCGCCACGTAAGCATCACCGTTTGTCTTGTCAGACTTAACGTTAACACCGTTAAAGAATGTGACGGAATTGGATATAAGTGGCATTTCGAGAAATTTGGATATTATTGGCACAACCATAAAATTTTTAGATATACAAGTGTATTAAACCAATTTATAATATTAATTTATAATTATTTTTCATATAAGAAAAGAAAATGAAAAAATTACAAAAATAGAAAACAAAAACATAAACTAATTGATTTGGGGATTTACCCATCCCTCTCCTGTCGGCCGTCTCCCAACCTCTACCGTCGATTGGAAACCGATTTGGGGATTTACCCTTCACTGGCCGAGATGGCGGTCACTCTGGTCTGGGCCGCGGACTCTGATGATAATGGTGGTGGGCTTCAAGGGTTGGAGACGGAGAAGGAGTAGGCAGCGAGGAGGCGGCAGATGCGGCCGAGCATGTCGGGGACTTCTAGGTTCTTGGTAGGGAGCTAGGCAGCAATCAATCGAGAAGATCTAATATCGTCGTCGCTTGTTTTCCTCTTCCTTCTCCTCCTATCCTCTCTACAACCGTCTGTCGCTTACTCATCGTCGTCATCATCCTCTCCCCATCAATGTTCTTCCTGTCGCAGCTGACTCAGCTCACCGGTGTCATCATCCTCCCCCATTGACTTCTCCGTCGGGAATGAAGAAGAAGCAAGCTACGGATTGGTCTGCGGGAGTGAAAAAGGAGTAAGCAAGCCTGCCAGGAGACCTTTTGTGTCCTCGATCTAGGATTTTGTTTCCTCTCTAGTTCAGTTAAATATCAAGTGAAAATTGGAAGCTGGGGTTTCATGCTTCCCTGTTCCGACCACATGTTGAATAATGGTTGGGTGGATTGAGGTTTTGGAGAGGGAGAGCGGTGGGAAGTTATCCGGGGCGAGGGAGATGGGGAGACGAAGAGAACTGGAGTTATGAGAGAGGGTGGTTGCGGCGGCCGGCGGTAGGGGTTAAAAAAATAGAAACTTTATTTTATTATTTTATATTAAAAATTAATTTAAAATTATTGTGTGTTAATGAGTTGATATGGCAGTTGACGTGGTGTATATGTGGCTGCCACATATGTGCCATGTAACCAACAGTCATTATTTTATGGTTGACCGTTTGGTCAACTGTTATCTATAACGGTCAACGAAATTGTCAAGACGTAAATGACACACAACTATTATACGTCAGGACACAAATGTCATATTGGATACTTTAGGACACAGATGACACATTCTTCATAGTTCGGGTTTCCTAGTGGTATTAGCCTTTTTTTACTCTACTTTTAATTCCCCCTTTACCATCGAGTGAAATCCCCATCCATCCAATTTCATCTCCCATACCCACACCACCGTCCTTTCCTCTTCATCATTGGTACTTCCGACGTGTAATCCCCTCCGTCGGCCAAGAGCATACTTGTGTTGGACGAGGGATTGGAGAAGCCCAACAGCCAATAGCCAAAGGAGAGCATCATAAGCCTCGTAATGACTGCAAGGAGGAAGCTCCGGAGCCTTTGAGATGGTGAATCGCTCCGGGATTGACGGCGATGAAAAGCAAATAGGAGATGACGGTCTAGCATAGTTAGTAAATACTCCGTTTAATACACGTATATGTACCCGTACGTACTTTATCCGTTTAAAACTTTCGTATCCGTATTATTGTCAAGCCGTTTCATTTTTGTCCGTTCATTTGATGGCTCCCGTATTAAACACGTATAAAACCCGTATAACACGTTTAATATCCGTATTTAATGAATTAAATTACTAACTTTACTATTATTTATATATTTATTTATTTTTAAAATGATTAATTTTTCTATATTTATGAAAATTAACGTACTATTAAACGTAATATTAGCATACAGACGAAGTAAAATACCCGTACGTATTTTATACGTAACATTCCCGTACCGTATTTTACTAACTATGCGGTCTAGGGCGTCGAGAATCTCATGCATGTTCTCCGTCGATTAGGGATTTTCTCAGGAATAAGTGTAGATTCGTAGTGAATTCCTTTTTCCATCTTGTCAGATTGGGAGCGGCAACTGGGGCAGGAGTAGGGGATGACGCCAGGGGTTAGCAGTGATAGCAGCAGGAAGATTTCCATCCCGGAGATTTCGCTTAGGAGTTGTAGAGGGGGCCGGTTAGCATGCTAACCCCCTTGAGGGGTTGGAAAAATGACACCCCTTGGTGTATTAAATACAACTATAAAATTTAATACACACATTAAATACACATTAGGAATTAAATGCACCATATTAATTATTTGTTTTTTTAAATTAAAACCTACACTAAATACATTCACTCTCCCTATATCTGATTTTTTCTTTTTCAGCAGCCTCTGACCACCAGACTTCCTCCGAACGCCACACTTCTCGGGTGAAAATCCCATCGGCAGAGTCGGTTCTACCACCAGCTAAAAGTATACCACTGCACTGATACGTTGTACCACTACACTAGTAGCGATATCAGTGCACTAGTACCAATGTCATATCTGAGTATCAGTGCAGTGTGATTGACTACTGAATTATGCATGGTTACATGTTTGGAATGCCTTAGGAAAGTGAATACTGAAATTGGTTATATGGGGAAACTAAGAGACTAAGCACGGGATTCGACTTCACCAGATATTATGTTTGTATTGATATTGTTGATAGATTAGCTTTTACTCATTGAGGGGTGACGTCTCACCCCCCTCAAAAAAAATTCCCAGATTAGAAGTTTTGGACTAAGAAGTCAAAGGAACTCAGCAAGGCTCAGCAAAGCGTCAATGAGGTGGGATGGTGGACTCAGGCTCCGTCATGACTTATTTATAGTATTTTGAGAGAAGATGGTCTTCTTTACAGTCATGTGTTCTGGAGTTTTAAAAGTTTATGTAAATTATGGTTTGGTTTGTAAATTAAAGGGAGGTGTAAAAGGTTTTAATCGTATGATCTTTGTGAATGTTTTAAAGTACGTATGGGTGTTACACACTATGCCCATCCTTGTACTTCAAGTTCACAATTCTTCGAATGAGTGATGCTTTGTTTTGAGCCGATTTTCACTCATACATGGACTCCAATTTCTGTCACAATTCATCTGCTCTTGTGTCTTTTGCAATATGGTGAAAGATGATTTGGTCAATCCATTGTCGAATGATTGCCACCGCCTTTCTATACAAGACCTCCCACTGCTTATTTGACTTACCTGCTGGCTTCTCGGTGCCACTTTCAATAGGTTCATAGAGATCCTTGCAAAACAATATATCGTCCATTTGTGGCTTCCAAATCGAGTAGTTGGATGGTGTCAACTTGTTCATTGCTCCGTTTGTGTCATCCATTCTTGCCATTCAACCAAACGCAGCCCCAAACAACCATGGGCTCTGATACCACTGTTGAGAAACAGAGTAGCAAAATCAAGTAAGAATAAATGAACAAGACATACGATTTTTACGTGGAAACCCCAAATCGGGAAAAACCACGGGACCTTTGTCCAAGCCACAACTACACTATACCTTTGGTGGGATTACAAGTTCTCTCTAGACTAGCTAAAGGATTAAAAACTATCTCAAGAACTTTCTTGGATCACCACTCAACCACAAAGTCTCGCACCAACCCGGAGGATAACAAAGAAGAAGAGAAGTTTCACAAGTACATAAAATAGTTTCGCACTCTCTTTGTCAAGAAGCAATTACAGACAAAACGGAGATAAGAACAACGATTCGTCCGATCAGATTGAAGAATTATGAGTCTTGAATACTCTGATTAAATTCAGGACGATCCAACTGTTTGTTCTCCTGTTATGCTCTCTTGAACATGATGCACTGCTGCAGAAGTCTAGCAACCTTTTAGTTTCTCTTCTCTCTTTTTAATTCTTTGTCACTTAAATGGTTGTAACTCCTCTCTATTATGACAATAGAGGATCTTCTGTAAATGACCTTTGAACTCCCCCAATGAATTCAAGATAAGCCAATTTAATTTCCATGACTCAAGAAAACTGTTTAATCCAAACACCATAAGAAGATGGACCAACCTAACACTAACAGCCTTGTGACGAAAATATCAAATAATGATAGAAGAGCATATTTGTTACGTCTTGATAGTTGAAGGGTGTGAATGTGCAAAAAAAATAATAGAGGGGTACATTTGTTAACTTGTAAAAGTAGAGGGGTATAAAATGCTATTAACCTTATATATTATGTTGAATACATGTCTAATAATCTATTACTCTACTTCTTGCTTGATTGCATCACTGCCAAAGATGGATTTCAAGAGAGTTTGCCGAAATGCGAGCCGTTGGATTGAAAACTAGAATGTTTGACTATTGAGTTTGTGCACTACCTGCCCAATGTCGAATTTTGTTTTTGTACTGCCGGGTGTTTCCTCTCCTTTCATTCTTTAAATATCACATCAATATAAGGTTGGGTAGATACTATATTTCATTGATGAGATGAGATAAAATAAGAAAAAACACGTCACTCACGCTATTCCTTTAGCAACTATGCTCATGAAAACATTTTTTCATGTTTACCGCTCTAACATTGACCACAAAGAAAGATAAGCTCTAAAAATGAGGTATAAAATACACTATAGCAATCTCATATTTTACTTTTACCACCCGACCCACCCATTAATGGTTGAAACTCAAATCATATTTGGGGTCGTTTGCTTCATGGACTTGGAGGCATGAGGGTTTTGGAAAACTTCTTATTTGTGATGGATTTGGTAGATTGTGGATTTGATGAGTTCTATGTTTGATGGATCTTGTTCATGAATTTGTTGTTATGTTTTTGTAGATTTAATATGTAAATTACCTTATTATACTTATTTATTTTATATTATTGAGGCAAATTTCACATTCATATTTTGGATTTGCAAGTTCATGGCCTTGCATATTTGAATGCTCAAAGTCCATGTATCCCACGGATTTGATCTTTCCACGAAAGGATGGAGCAAACAATGAATTTATACTGAATCCATAATAATTATGGATTTAAACCAAATTCTATGCCTCAAATTCATGAAGCAAAGGAACTAAAGAATATGAGTAAATGAGTTTTATTTTGTAGAAACACATATATGAAATGAGGATTGAGCAAGCTAAGCGTTGGGGTTTCATTGGATCTTCGCACTAATCAAATGATTCATGAGGATGCTCATATGAATCATGAGTTGGCAGACATGTATCAAGCACTATCGCAGTATCATCATTATTATAATCGAATGTGATATCTACTACGCCTGTTTGTTTAGAACGACATGTCTCCATAAACTGTACAGAGAATATTATTTACAAAATGCTCAGAATCGGTCAAACGCGGTTATCCTCCATAATTAATGTACAAGAATCAGATGTGATTGTGCGGATGTTGAGGGTACATGCACGTTTCATGGTCTCCACTCTCCACAGCATGAGGCCATTGTTGATCTTAATTACTTTGTTGCAGGAAGGTAATTAAGATCTGGACCAATAGATTCAAAAGAGTAATTGACCATCGTCAAAGGGCAACATGGAGGGGGGACGATTGTTTTTCTCTCACTTATTTAACCGTTACCAACTAACTCAGAACCCACCAAATAGTCGGTCTAACCCTAAATCAGTTTGGCTAGTTCAACCCCAAACTAGTTTGACTCGATTAGTCCAGTTCAACCAAGTATGTATGATTGTTCAAAATCAGGAGACTAGAAATGTGAGAGAGCCGTGAACTACTTTTATTTTTTGAAAATAATATTTTCACCCTCCATAAAGAATTGAGTTACACGAAATTTCTCACAATGATAAAACTATCACCACTTTAAGTTCTAGCACTAAGACCATCAAAATAAATTTAAAAGTTTTTGGAAGATAGAAATTCTCCATATAGGGCATGGGTTAGGCAAATGTTATTCTGAGAATTAATCAAGCGGAGCGCCGAAGAAGTTGCCTTGCCTTAATGTATCTAGATTGAGAAGATACATGTTAAATTCCATTGTGAAAATTGTCCTGAGTTGAAGCCTTCAATGGTTTCATGTGTGAAACTTATAGTTAGTATTATCAATCAGTTTAAAAATTGAAGTTGTCCAAGGTAATTGGGTGTTTGATGTGTATAATGAGTAACGTAAGATCAGATATCACATATGTGGCAGGACAATTCAGCATAAACACATACCATGAGAATGCCCTTGAGCTGGTTGTCTGTGATTGATGAAGCATCATCTCCACTATTGTTGAGATTAAGGAGAATATGCAGGAAGTCCTTTGTCTCTTTGGCCTCACCTTCTGTCGCCAAGACCAACTTCCTCTCATTGATTATGGAACTGAGGATTTGATCCAGACTCTCTAACACTGTCATGTAGGGGTGGAAATTGGTGCGGTAAAACCGCTCTGAACCGCATCAAACCGCTTTTGTGGTCGAGCCAAACCGCACCATAAGCTTGCGGTTTAATAAGCGATCTGAATTTTTAGCGACTCGTGGTTAGCGGTCGGGTTTATCCGAAACCGCGCGGTTGCGGTTTGAAACAACAAACCGCAAATGACTTTTATTGGTCTCCGCTGCCGCCATCGCTACTACTTCTGCCCATCATTCTGCTTTCACAGCGACGGTGGCGCGGCCCAATTACTTGACTGGGATGCGTAGAAATCTGGAGAGGTTCTGCTGGGCGATGAATTTTGCAGTGTCCAATTTTTTTTTTTTTTTTTGTTTGTGAAAGTGTTCCTATTAATTCTGCTGTCGGAGTAATGGTAATTGTTTGTCTTTGAGCTGCTAAGTAATTAATAGTATATATATATATATATAATTAGGGTGGTGTTTTCGGTGCACTCACCTTTTTGGGTGCATTCAGTGCACTCGTTTCATAACTGTCATTTTAAACATGTGATTCATGTCAAAATGATGTCAATCATCACTTATGATGTGATGATCAATAAAACACAAGAATTCGCACAAAAACCATTCAAGATTTACTTTAAGTTGAATGATTTAGAGTTTAGAGATGTAAGGTTAGGGTTTGCAATTTGGGGTTTAAGGATAGAATTCAAAATTAGAGATCTAGAGCTTAGGGTAATCCATTAATTAGTTGTGATCATATGTTATATCATCATATTACACTGATTCTACAAATTAAAATTCAAAATTTGACATCTTAAGACTAGTTTTTGAGTTGGATGCATTGAACGCACTCATTTTTGTGAGTGCACCGAAGTAGTCACCATTAATTAGTTATTACTAGATATTAAATATTAGTTTTTCTTACAATTACATTAGAAAGTGAATTCAAACTTCTCATTTCAATAATGCATAGTTCATGATAAGGGAGAGATATGCTCGGCCTACCTCCCACTTCTTTCTCCTCATATTGTTATTGTTAACCAGTCTGTTGTTCTGTTTCCTTAGTTCACGTTGGTGGAGATTAGGAATAGCTGTTAGTGGGGAATAGGAATAGCGTTCTGTTGAGTATTCTCTGTATATATATCCATCAATAATATCAATACAAACCAGGCTTTCCTAAACATCTACATGGTATCAGAGCACTAATAAACTCAAACGAGTTACATACCTTTTCTTTTTCTTCCCTTTCTGTCTTCTGCTTCTTCCTCCAATGGCTACTACCTCCACCACATCTGATTCTTCTTCTCCTTCCATTCAATCTCCTTCTCCACAGCGCTTGTTGATTCCCTCCAATCCCCAGCTCACTGTCAAGTTAAATCCTACAAATTATTTGCTATGGCGTGCTCAGATTCACCCTCTGCTTCGGTGTAACCGTCTCATCGGACACATCGATGGCACTCTTCCTTCTCCTCCCTTGATTGTCGAGAGTCACCCCAATCCATCCTATGCCACCTGGTACGAGAATGATCAGCTCGTCCTTGCCTGGATCAATCTCTCGCTGACGGAAGCGGTGATGCCCACCATTGTCAACAAGACGACAGCTCGAGAGGCCTGGGATGCTCTCGCTGCTGTCTATGCCTCGGGCTCTCCCGTCATCATCGGCCAGCTCCGCAAGGAACTCCTTCGTCTCTCTCGCGGCAGTGAGACGATTCATGACTATATTCACCGCGCGAAGGGAATATATGACAAGATGCTCGCTCTCGGCACTACTGTCACCGAACAAGAGCTGGTGATTGCTCTTCTCGATGGTCTCGACGAGGACTATCGTCCTTTCACTCGCAATTTGGAGGCGTGCCTAGAGCCAATCTCCTTCGAGAACGTCAGCAGTCTTCTTTTAAGTGAGGAGATGCAACTTTAACGTTTTCGGTCGGCGGCTGCAGAGATATCACCGCCACAGTCTTTTTATTTAGCCCGAGGGGGGCGCAGCGGCGACCGTTCTTTTCGTGGAAGGGGAGCTCGGTTTGGTGGTCGTGGGTTTTTTCACCCGGACCGGTTTACTAATTCTTCTTTTGCCGGTGGGCGGC